GAGAGAGAGAGAGAGAGAGAGAGAGAGAGAGAGAGAGAGAGAGAGAGAGAGAAGGGATATGTAAGGTAATGGCCGAATCTTCATGGGTTTGATTCTCCGGCGATAAACATGGCTGGTTGTGATGATGATGATGATGATGATGATGATGATGAGGAGGAGGAGGAGGAGGAGAATGGTTCTCCGGCGATGAACATGGCTGGTGGTGATGATGATGAGAAAGCATAATGGTAATCATGATGATGACGATGATCGGTGTGTGAATAATGATTACCTCGTGGAAGGAGGACGTGAGGGAGGAGGAGGGGAGGGGGGAGGAAGGGCAGGAGGAGGAGCAGGAGGAGGAGGAAAAGCAGTGGAGATAATATGGTGGTCAAGGCTATGGTGGTGGTCCAAGCGCCTGATCGATGATGATGAGACAGACGCGCGACTGATTGATAATGGAAGCCAGGTTCGAATTTGCAGATCATGATGGCAATTGGTCGGACAATCGCTTTTTTTTTTTCTTTTGTGGCCGAATCGCCTTCAGCCAATAGAAAGAGACGAAGATGGGATATGGGAGATTCTCCTAGGTACCGAAGGTCGTGCTGCCCTCGTTTTTTTTTCTCTGGTGCTCAGGCATTTTGATTGGCGGTGTAACAGTGTTTGAATCCTATTACATTTTGATTTGCGATGCAGACACAGTACCGTGGAGAAAAGAGTTCAGTTATGACACACTGATCAGATGTATTGGTATGAGAAGAAGAAGAAGAAGAAGAAGAAGGAAGAAGAAACAGAAGGAAGAAGGGACAAGGAAGAAGAAGAAAAAGAAGGAAGAAGAAACAGAAGGAAGAAGGGACAAGGAAGAAGAGGAGTTCTTAAGTTGTGTGCTGTTATATTTTATGCACTCTTAGCCTGTGAACTGTTTACATTCTGTGGTTGATTGTGTCATTGCAGAATGGGTCTTGGCAGATGAATGTAACAGTGTTCGAATCTGTGATCTGATTGACCGGTATGCAGGGATCCGTACGTAGTGGGATCATCTGTGCTGGGTGTGAAGTACAAGGATGGAGTTCTCTTGGCTGCAGACACGCTAGGTATGTGCCAGGGGGGGAAACCAGTCCTCCCCCCCCCTCCCTCTTCTCCTCCTCCTCCTCCTCCTCCTCTTCTTCTCCTTCCCTTCTCTCCTTCCCCTTTCTCCTCCTCCTCCTCCTCCTCTTCTTCTTCCCTTCTCTACTTTCCTCTTCTCCTTCCTCTCCTCTCCTCCTCCTCCTCCTCCCTTTCCTCCCCCTCCTCCTTTCTCCTTCTCCTCTCCCTCCTCCTCCTCCTCCCCATCCTCCTCCTCCTCCCTCCTTTCTCTCCTCGTCCACCTTCTCCTCCCCACCCTCCGTTCCCTCTCCTTCTCCCTTGGGTTACCACGTGTTCGAGTCATGAACCCGTTGCGTTTGCATGAGGTCCGTACAGGCTTCGGAGAGCTGCGCGCCAATTTTGCTCCGCTTTGTGGCAATGAACCTGTGCGTTCTTCCGGTACATGCCACGTGTGCTAGGCTTCGAAATTGAAGTCGATCAGGAGGCAGAAGCTTCTGGGAAGAGTCAGAAGGGAGACCCCCCCCCCCACCTGTCTCTCCTGTCCTTCGCTTTTGATGGTATTGCTCCTGAGGTTCCAACTGGAGCCCTTGACTCTCTCTCACCGATTTTCTCTGCAGGTTGGAATCGGAGCCGCCGTTTACTCTCTCCTGCTCGACCCATTATCGTATCGTATGCTCTCCAGTTCGAACCGGCGAGAGCACAGTTTTCTTGCAAATGCTCTGCACAAGTTCGAACCGGTTCGAACCGGTTCCAGTAAGAAACGGATATTATTCCCTCTCGGAATGCGTGGTAGCATGTTTGTGTTAATTTCAGCCTCTCTCTCTCTCTCGATCAGCTGTTTCGGCGGCATGTTAGGCTCAGTGTCTCTCTCTCTCTCTCGATCAGCTGTTTCGGTGGCATGTTAGGCTC